GATGGACTCATGTGTGGCAACAGTAGTGAGGTTGGCCCAGGACAGGGTAGAGTTTCGTTCTGTTGTGCATAGAGTTGTGATGAGTTGGTACCAACTCAATCGCGCTTAACAAGAACAACAACAACAACTTTCATAAATTACTATTAGGAATGTAAATTGGTATAGCTACTTTAGAGTATAGTTGGGCAGTTTCTTGAAACATTAAACATATACCTATCATGAACCAGTCACTCTACCGTTCGCATTTTCCCTAGAAAATTAAACTGTATGTCCATCCAAAGACTGTGTACTAACACATATACTAGCTTTATTTCCAAACTGGACCCAACTCAAATGTCCATCAATAGGTGGGTATATGAACCAGTAGTGGTATACTATATACAGTGGAATTTTAACAATCTGAAGGAATGAAATAAAAAGTAAACAAGAAGGGATGAACTGCTAATATGTGCAGCCACATGGATGACTCTGAAAATGCTTACAGTGGATGAAAGAATCCATATAAAACAAGTACAAACAGTATGATTCAGTTTACAGAAGTCCCTGGATTATGAGTGATTCCTCTTCCTCAGTCTGTCTTGAAGTTCAATTTGTATGTAAGTTGCAACAGTTTGGTACGGTTTATATCTAACACTAGTTAAATGTCTGTCTCAGTATATAGTGTACCTTTCTATGCATAAGAGCATTAAAGAAACATTTCCAGATTAACGGAAATATCTGTAACACAATACAGTAATGTTAATAATAATATTTTGATGTGTCATAAACTAACTCCTGTTTGTTATTATGAATCATTTTTAATATAATAGGCTCTATGGACATTGGCTTATAGTTGCTGGTTTGTGTCAGACATTAGTAACCCAGGGACCCATTGCCTATATAAATGCCTGAAAAACAAATTAATCTGTGGTGACATAAAGAAGATCGGTGGGTAGTTGGCAGTTGGGGTAACATAAGAAGGGGCTGGAGGAATGAATTACCAAGGAACACGAGAAACTTTTTGAGGTGATGGAAATTTTCTTAGGTTGACTGTGATAATGTGTGTGTGTGTGTGTGTGTGTGTGTGTGTATATCTATATATATCTATATCTGGTAGCGTAGTGGTTATGAATTGGGCTGTGAACCTTAAGGTCAGCAGTTTGAAACTACAGGCTGTTCGGAGGGAGAAAGATGAGGCTTTCTACTCCTGTAAAGATTTACAGCCTCGGAAACTCTGTACAGGGTCGCTATGAGTCAGTTCTGACTCTAAGGCACATAACCACCACTATATATATATATTGTTGTTGTTAAATGCCTTTGAGTTGATTCCGACCCATAGTGACCCTGTGTAAGGTTTCCAAGGAGCAGCTGGTAAGCTTGAACTGCCAATCTTGCAGTTCAAACCAACTTTGC